TTATTATAAATATCAAATAATATCAAAATATAAAAACAGTGTATTACAATTCGTTTTTTTAATAATAATATTGCGGCGGTGAAAAGCGCTTACATATCGCGATTTGTCTTTGGCAAACGGCTAATGACATTAAACCTTTGTTGGTAATTGTACCAGGCACACAGCTGATTGTTAGCTGTGGACGACAGTTAATGTGACGATTGGTCACATCTAAGAAGAAAAAGCAAAGAAACTATAAATGTTTCTATAAACACGTGAACACCATTTCGCATTGGCCCGCTATGTGGTTAAGGCGCATTCATACATAAATTCTTCGTAACCAAATATATTCAAACAACCAAATACTCCATAGGGCAAAAAAAAAGTACACCATATTAAATAAAAATTGTGTGTGCAATGAGTCGTGTTGTATTCTATTTTCATGTAGCAATGAATCTCCATCGTTTACGGTGGTTTGTAAAATATTATCCCTGCACGGACCGTGGAATCGGTTGTGTTCATAATAAGCGAATAACAAAAATGTATGATGAATCAACTTTAAATATCATTATAGTTTATGCTGCAGGTTTGTCAGCCATAAAACGTGAATGGATATGGTCGGAATTGAAAAATTTTTATCGTGTACTTATGCTAAAGAATTGATGCTCGAAATGATTGATTGATTGAATATGAGAACCTTATGTACGCAATATAAGCTTTTCCGTTGTATTAATACGCACTATGGAATGTAAAGAAATAGGCGAAATATTAGAAAATCTAGGGGACAATTGAACACGAAACCGAAACGCAGGAGGGTTTCAAAATCGACGACCACTCCGACGGGGATCTTTGGCAGAACCAATATGATGAAGAAGATGTTTCCGTTCCCGCTAGCTATCGTCAACAATGGGGAAATTTCGATAATGAATGTATTGCTTATTCCTCTACTCGTATACCAAACATTAAGAAAAAAACAGATCCGACCTTTACAAATAATGGAAAGTCGTTAAATAATCTTATAACTGCTGGTGAAAGAGAACTTTTAAAGGAGAGATTTATTAGTTTGGAGGAGATTTCGATTACAGTACAGTGTGCGACAATAGACAATTTGATGACTCGCAGCAAATTAATCAAGATAAATATTTTGCTGGAAGCGCTGACGATGATAAAGTTGACATTGGAAACGAAGGCAAGAAAATTAAAAATTTTACCTTATTAAAGGGAGAAATACGATCGGATATTTAGGATTGAGCTTATTTCGAACGTAAACTAACGAGAAACTTTTTTTTTAATCTCTCAGAGTAAATTTCAAGTTATTAATAGTAATTTCAACTGTCAGGCAGTTTTTCAAGCATCATCCGGCATTTTGCCCTTCAATGCACTGCGAATAAAGGGCACAAAAACTGCAAAACTTCAGGAGGATTAAATTTAAGAGAGCTTTGCAAAGTAAAAAATAAAGTTTAAATGCAATTGAAGAAATTATTTTTTATTTTTATTTTTGACGAGATGTAAAGTTTAGCTTAGAGCTACATTTGCATTGAGTCATAACATAAATAGCATTAAAAAAGTTATTTATAATGCTGTAAACAGACTCGCAACAGTTATTAACGAAAGACATTACCGCGAGCAAAAATTTCGAGAGGAACACCTGAAAGTTCAACAAGAATTGGTAGCAGCTAGCAAAGATCTTACCAAAGAGAACTAAACTTGATAACACTGCTTTTGTCAAGCCTTGCGATATATATGACACGATCCGAACGAGCTGTAACAATTTTCCACAATAAATGGCCTTTTCAAGTGAAAAAGTGATCAACATTTTTAGCAAACGCCTAACATAAATCAATTAGTAATCTGTGCTATTGCCTTTTAATGTGCGTAGTTTTAGAAGCAAATTGGAAGCTCTGAAGGAAAAAAGGTTTAGATTACTCACACCTTGTTATTGAGTAATCCATACAAGCCTGCCGAAGCTTCGGTTGTTTTAACATATGCCATACAATTCAGTTCGTTGTTATCTTATTACCTTATTATTGTTGTTATCTTATTACCTAAATATGTCGGAATTTGCTGCTGATAAAATGCAGAACTGTGACGTCGATCAGACAAATTAGTGTTCGAATAAAATGCTTGTCGAAGATGATGCTGGTTGTTAATTATCTGATGAGTAAAGACCATAGCGGAGGATGCTGATGACACTGGCGTTACTGGATATGGCGACGGCAAATTTATGTTATTTAAATTATTATTATTGTTACTATTGTTAAGGTCGCCACTGAAACAACTGATTAAAACGCAAACATGGATGATTGCTGCTCTTTTTACTGAGAAGGCTTCCTTAAAATCCTCAGTTATCTGGTGAGCCAAACTTATTTGCATCTTGTCGACACTTTGTGATAAATTCTTAATCTCCTCGATGTACAAATACTGTTGAAAATGCTGATTCACTTCTGCGATGGCCTGCAAAGAATTTAAAATTTCACCATACGAACGCTTTTCAATTAGAATTTCAAAACTCTCTATTCCACCTACCAGCATATGAAAGTGATTTAAAGTAGTTATAGACGAGGTGACATTTCTATTAGCGCAGTCTAATTGTTTAATGTCCCTTATAATTTCGTTCACCATTTCTTCGGTGTGTTCAGCACGCGCTTTAACATCAATAATGTGCTCGTATAAAGTGCACATAGGGCTAGATGGCCATCTTGGCCAGTATTTGTTTGTCCCCTAAACGGATATTATCATTTCATCATATTAACATCGATCAAATACACTTCACACTGTATACGTTGTGTTGTTTCATCTATAGTGACCAATGATTGTTCATTCGGAAATAATTGATTGATATAATCAACGCAATTAAAATCGAGTGTATCGATCGGGTCATCAGATTTAAGAACCTACAAATGAAAAAGGTGAAATTTTATAAAATTCAAACAATTTATACGTAAGTCTTGCTTTACGCTTACCTTATCGGTATAATATGTTTGACTTCCTTGCTAAAATGTAAAGATTCTGCAGATGTTTTTATTGCGAACTCATACACCACCCACTGATTTGTAAACATTCTACAGATGTTTTTATTTCGTAGCATCGGATAGCTATCTTTCAAAAGTAGTTTATTGTTGTATATGCTTTTAGCTCATATGACCAAAGTGACCAATAAAATAATAAGCAAAGGAAATACAAACAATTTCTATAGTTTTTGTAAATGTGTTAATTTCCTTATTATACTTTTTTATCATTAAAAAATAGCTCATATGACCAAAGCTGAAATGTTTGGTTTGGATTGGTCCCTTTTAGGTCCCGGTCTATTGTTCCTTAATCAATATTTTATGATTAATCTTGTTTACCCTAATTTGGGCTACTCAGGACTTAATGCGATACTGTGCGCAAGTAAGACAATCTGCCTGACATTAGCATGTTGATAATCGTTTTATATTTACTTTTCTTTTATATTGGAAATTTGTGCTCATTCACATATAAAATTAATTACCATACCTTACCCACCACGCACTGCGGTCAATGAAGGACCTAGTACGAATACGAACAGCGCATCTTTCATCACGATTTGGCTCAACTTGTATCCTTTGTGTCTGTAAAGCACACATCTAAGAAATTGACAATGCGGAAAATGTCGGCTGGAAGCACGAACTTTATTATAACATTCCCCGAAACAGCTCCATCTCAAGTTTTTTATATTGAAGTTATTTATACAAGTGAGATTAAGCCATATCCAGAAGAAATCAAACAAGCTTATAAACAATTTGTGAGACACACAGGTCCAATGTATTTTTATTCTGTATACAAAACACGTTTCCAGAAAATTCAAGTAAAATTGGCAACATCCAACATCATTTCTTATACTCAGATCAAACCTTGTGCTGTTTCGTCGAATAAAATAAAACATGGCCCATTCGAAGATATTTCTGGTGAGCATTTTTGAAAAATATAACTACTAAAATCGAATATTTAGTGTGAAATTCTGATACCATAGCAAAAAATACGTATGAGAGCGAATAGAAATAGTTTTAGCTTAAATTAACAAACAGTGGAGTGAAGAAACACTCCACAACACACAACAATCGGTACAACCATAAATAAAATATAGTTCGAGCTAAACACTCAGCACAGGATGAAAAACTGTTTTAGAAACAAAATGCTAAAAAAATGTTGATATTGGTTTTTCAATTATATTCTTCTTTCCTTCTTAGCTTATTTACGGTGTTACCTGTGAAGAAAGTACGTTTCAGCATATCCAGCTTTTTCATTGACAATGCACCGGTTCGATTATTATTATTACAGATTATTCCAAAGAGCTTATGTCTGTGCATTATGAGAATCAAACACCATTTATGTCTATGAATCGATTGGAGAGAATAATACAAGTATCTCACTGGGGAAATATCGCTGTCGAAGAAAGTATATACTTGCTTCATACCCGAGCAAAATTGAAAGTGTCATTGTCAAGATATGAATTTCAAAAAGATGGACGTTCTGGGCAGGCATCTATTAAATCATACAAAACTATTTTGCCTGCCTCAGCGTTTGGAGTTTATTACAGAGACACCAACGACAATACATCCACTACGAATATGAATGTAATGAAAGAATCTGTAGAACTTGAGGTGCGGCCTCTTTTTGGCGGATGGAAAACTCAATATATTTTGGGTTATAACTAACCGGCCTTTGAATATTTGTTAAACAGTGACGATGACTACGTTCTTAAAATGAGGGTAATAGACGATATTTTTGATGACATGGTTGTTGATGAAGCTGTTGTGAAAATTATTTTGCCAGAAGGATATGCAAGCGTACAATTAACACCGCCATATCCTGTTAGAAGAGAAGCGGAAACTTTGTCCTATACTTACTTGGACAACTTCGGTAGACCAAACATAGTCTTCTCAAAAAATAACATGGTTGAAAATCATATGTCGGATTTTGAACTAAAACATAAATTTCCCAAAATTTGACTTTTTCAAAAACCTATTCTTATAATAACTTTTATTTTTATAATATTCTTGTTCGCAGTCCTTTATGTTTCCAATTTTTTTTATATTTTTATGTATCTTATTTACGCATTTTATGTATGCACATATTTATTTCAATTATGAAACACATTAATTAATGAAATGGAATAGAAAGTTTATTCATATTACTTAATTTATATTCAAACAAAACCGCCTGCGGTATGTATATTGTCCTTGAAGCACCGCTTGATCCAATTGTTTATAATACGTACTTGAAGTCTGCTTTCGAAACTCAAAACTTTTCAATCGAATTCGCTATACCTCTCATTGATCTGTAAACAATTGTAACTTCCGCGAGTAAAATTCAGGGGAGGGGGTTGGTCAGTCTGCTTTTACCGCAAGAGGCACAATAACGGCATGCCGTTATATGACACCGTGTGATTTTGCGGTTTGCTCCTTTTTTTTTGCACGAATAGCGGCATTAGATAGCAACGCAAAAGAAAAAGAAAAAAAAAGGAAAAAATAAATCATGCGAAGAGATTAGGTTTTGCCTTGATTGATTTGTCTACTGAGGAGAGTCGCGTAAGAATAGCCGAACGCGCAGTATCGTCAATTCCGCTGATCTTTTTCAAATCGCATCTGAAGTTATAACTCAAAAATAAAAACTTTTAATCAAAATATAAAAAGAAAAAAAATACAGTATTGTAAGTTATAGACGGTTTTACACATAACAAAAACAAAGTTAGTGGCACCTAAGAAGTGTTGTGTCATAAACGCACATACGAGCAAAAATGTTTTGATACAATACATACATGAATAGTTTGAACTATTTTCAATATGAGGCATTGAGCTGAGAAAATTTCGAAATAAAATATTAAAGAACAGTTTTCAAGGAAAAAAAAAGGGAAAACATGTTTTAAATAACACAGGTGAAAAGCGTAAGGATATACCTTTAAAAAAGAAAAGAAAAAAAAGAAAAAATGTATAAGAAATAAAGGTGTACGGAATTGGTGGTACTACAAAACTACAACGAAAAAGAAAAGCATAATACGTCATTGAGTATTTGTTAATAACATACTTGAAAAGAAAAAGAAAACTTTTAAGAGAAGAAAATTTCAAAGTTTTTCTACTGGTTTACTTTTCTTTCTCTTATTGTTTGAACAAAGAAGTAAACAAATGAAATCTAACAAATGAAATCTAACAAATATTAAGATCAGCACTTTGTGAGAAATATAAAAAGAAACGATATGTGTAAATGTGAATATAATTGCAAATATTAGATGACCTTTTTACCATTATTGAGTCATTAAATAAACTACTTATGTACATGTTGAAAGAAATAAATAACATATATATTTATATAGGTATATAAATAAATTAAACACATACACTTAGTTACAACTGACAGCATTAAGTGATCCATTTTTCTTTTATACATATAAATGCCTTTATGTCATTAACGAGAAACAAAACGAATTAGAAACAAAACAAAAGAAAACACAAATAATAAATTTTGTTCTACTAGGAAAATGAAAGAGTTTTTAAGCACCTAATGACATGTGAAAAAGTTGCTTTGTAAAATTGACAAAATTTGTAATAAACCAACAAACAGTGAAAATAAAATATTTGCAGTTTTATTACTACGGTTTGTTAGTAAAACGGAAAACAAAGCTATCAGTGAAGTTGCCCATGAATGAATCAAGATATGAAGAAGTGAAACATTCCAAAGAAGCTAACTTACTCAAGATGAAAAACTAGTAACATTCACAACGTTTGAGAAGAATTGCTAATGAATTGATTCTCGAGCAAACGTGTAAAAACTCAGTTTACCCAAAGAATAGCTGTAAAAGAAAAGATGGAGGGTGCTTTAAAAATATTTGATGAAACCACTGCTTATGACCATACCATGTGCCGTTGCTACCACTGAAGAAGGTGCTCACTGGAGGAAGAGTAAGGAAGCGCAGCGGTTCTTTTCGTTTGGACAAAGTGCGGTAAGGGCCGGGGTGCTACTGAATAAGGAAAGCTCAGGCATTTGCCCCCCTTTTTTTGTTGGTTTCTGTTTACATATGAACGGCGATGAGCAGCTAGAGTCAGCGTGCTACCGCAGTAGCTGGAATGCGTTGAGTCTGAGCGCGTGAGGAAAGGTAGGGGGACAAAAGCCAGATACAGACGAACGAAGAAAAAACCCACGTATGACGTACCTGACAGACGACATAATTGTATGATGGGAATAGAAAACCTTTTGTTTTATTTTTTTTACCAGTTATTTTGGTTTTATTAGTAGTTAATGTTTCTTTTGGTGACGCGGAATTACGGGCCGGGTGCAGCTGCCCTAACGATCAAGAGCTAGGTCGCGCTACTAAATAAAACTGCGTTACAAATGGCGCCCAACGTGGGGCCATTTAAACGGTTTTTTTTCAAACTATACAGCTGTACACGTCCGCACCGTCCGCGCACACACAAAATTTAAAACATTACACAATTTCATCTGTTTTTCAATTGAATTCGCTATTCCTCCCATTGATTTGTAAACAATTTCATCTGTATTTCAATCGAATTCGCTACACCTCCCATTGATTTGTAAACAATTTCATCTTTGTTTCAATCGAATTCGGTATACCTCCCATTGATTTGTAAACAATTTCATCTGTTTTTCAATCGAATTCGCCATACCTCTCATTGATTTTTAAACAATTTCATCTGTTTTTCAAAAAAACAAAATGTATATATGCACCACATGGTATAATAAAATTGTGGATAGATCCGTATTAAATAATGAAGCAAAAATATGTGAAGAGTAGTACAAGAACGGCTGCTGCTATGTTCAAGTTCACTGTTGAAGGAGGTAATTTGTCGTTGTATAAACGCTCGCACATCCCATTGATCGCGTTCATTTATTGTCGTTGTCTATTTTTTCCATATAATTTATAATAAGCATTCGCTCAAACACCGTCTTTCCAAACACACAAACGCAAAACTCTTTTTTCTCCTATTAAAGTCAAACGCTCAACCCACCCACCACCAACTTCAAGTTAACACACCACGACGAGGTTGCGAAAATAATAAATGTTA